GAATAAGAGGAGAGTTTGAGGTGTGGTAAAATCAGATTTTATAATCAGATTTTTCACACAGGCAACATCGGTTTTTATCATTGTCGAAAAATTTTTCGTGTTAGAGCTTAGGCTAAACTTAAACAAATGTTTGTTTGGCCATCACATTCTAAAAGTGAGATTATAAAATCACACATTCAACAATTTTTCAAAACAAACTGATGCAAAACCTTTTTTTTCATCGTGCTGCATCCGAAAGAAACTATTAGGTTGGCACATAAGTTTTGCAACTTTTCCCGTAACTTTTTTCCTATTTTATGTAGCAATCTCATTTTGTGGCATCATGTAGAACGTGATGTAAGCTGCAAGTCTGCGCAAACCGTTTGATTTTTGATAACGTAGTACAAAAAATCTAAGCATTTTTTGAAAACTGCTGAAAATCGAGGTTTCACGGTTTTTTTAGGCAAACATGAAGCCCTACGAAACCTGATTCAAGCACACGCAAAAGCAATTATAGGCAGCATGTAGCTGGAAGTTGGCACATTGGAATCAGTGAAAAAGAAATGAAATTTAAACACAAATTAAGGTGGGGGGCCTTTGAGAATTTGAACAAGTCAAATGCCTCAAGTTTTGAAGGCAATTTGTCAATAAATAAGCTGCGGAAAGTCAGAATTCGCTAAAACTTTGCACTATAGGGTAATCCTATGCGGTAAATACGAATATCATATTCATTTGTCGCTAAAATGAAATTCATCTTTTGATCTCACGAACGACGCCTTTTCATGCGAAACGGATCTCATTTTAGTGATCAGCATGTCAAATAAGCCCTATAGGCCAAGTTTCAGCAATATCTGATGCATTCTAAAATTTTTCCCATAGTACCGTAAACCTACCGTAATCCCTACATAAGATGGTAAAATTCGGCAAAAATGTGTGCATTAGAAGCTTACATCATATTCCTTACATTGCCAAAAAATGAATGCGCTACGTTCAAATAGACAAAAGTTATATAAAAAGTTGCATTACTTATGTGCCAACCTAATACTTCTAATCCTAATTCAACTTTCATTTAATGCTGACCATTGATTTGAGCGAGTCATCTGCATAATTCTGAATATCTTTCGAGTTTTCTTGGACATTAATCAGCTTGATAAAAAGGTTGCGAAGGCATCGATTATCGTAAACTTGCACTTAGGTTCCTTAGAAAATAATTCATCGAAGCAAATAACTGAGATTTTGACTTTGTCTTGTAGAGAAGAGCTCTACCCATGGATGATTAAAAGAAACCTTTTAGAAAAACTTGGATCGAAGAACGAATGGATCCAAAAAAGTTTATTCCAATTTTTTACACATGCAAAATTGAGCATTGCTATGTTGACAGCAGTAGTCAAGCTTCGAAAAACTTACAGTTTCAAAAAGATGGCCTTTTCTATTTATAAGCTGGAAAGTTTTAGGGACGCAGAACGCGAAAAGTAGCGGATTAACTCATCATGCTGATATTAGTACACCTCAAATGCGAGATCATTGTCAGGGTTACTCATCCACTCATCCGCGATTGCTAAACGAAAAAAGACGATAATCCGGATTAGGACAGGATGGGAGAGGAAAGAAGAGGATAAGAGAATTGCGCCGAATCCCGAAAATTCATAATGCAGAAGTACATTTACACGTCATTCCGCTCGTAGTGAGATTAAGAAGCGCTGACTAATTCGCCCAAATGAAAAAATCTCTTTAACGAAATAAAATTGTCTCTTGTTTGCAACTTGTAGATATGCCAAAAAATGCTTGAGGATTCTTCCGTTCGTTACCTTTTCCTTCCTAGACTAAATGGTGCGACTTTTTTAGCGTAAGGAATTGTCAGGTGTAAAAGTGCTGAATGCGCTAACCTCTGTGGCCCATCAGCCAACTACTTCGAAATAGGTAAAATGTCAGGGTTACTCATCCACTCATCCGCGATTGCTAAACGAAAAAAGACGATAATCTCTTTCAAGCTCAAGATCATGCAGAAAACCTTTTTCTGACTTCTGAAAGCTACAACAAAAGAAGAAAATAAACTCGAAACGCTACAATGATCTCGCATTTGAGGTGTACTAATATCAGCATGATGAGTTTAATGATGTTTATTTCGTAAAGTACTCATAGAAAAAGTATACTGTGAGAGCTTCCACCACACGACATAAAAATCCTTATAGAAATTCTCCTAGCTCTTTATTTATAATTATTGTGCGTAAGTAGTTCAAAGTTTCTTCTGTCATACATCAACTATTCGAACTTTCAATTAGTAAGGACAGTTACACCCCAACAAGGCTAAAACCCAGAAACTCAATTCTGCAACTTCAAAAGCTTCGTTTTCATGCTGTAATGGATGTATAGAACAGCAATATGGTATATGGATACTTACAAGTTTCTTTTATTTGGCAACTATCAGTTAAAATTCTGATCTGCCGTTCCAAAATTCTTTGATCAAAATAACCAAATTTTCTCAGATTTGTGCAAGAAAAAATTGGAGTTTCTCAATTCCTTGCGGACTACTTCCATAGCAAAATAAATTCTACCTGAATAGATTGCATAATCCAATTCTCGTTAGCTCTTTTCAACGGTACCGAATACTGCAAAAAAATTGTCTGCATTATCTGTAGGAGCCGCAAAACACTGAATTATTCATTAGCCAACCTAATAATGATAGCTTCATGGAATGGGTGTCGCAGATAAGCACTATGAAAGGTGACAGATTCACTGCATAGACTGACAAGTGAGTAGTTAGTGCACAAGAGTATGGTGAGTGAACAATAAATAGACATAAACCTTTTTTGCTGCAAGCTCAAGCGCCTAGATGGCAAAATAGAGAGTGAATAAAGATGTATTGCATTATTGGAATTTGGTCGGAAGTAAATGGCACGGTCATCCACATTGAAAAATTGCAAGAAACTTCATATGAAATTATTATAAATGCATGCAAGCCCTAAGAAAGATATAAAGATAAGAAGTAAACGATTTTCTCGACTTTTTTACGCCGAAACTATAGTAAAAAATTGTGATGTAAGTAATTATTGAGCTATAAACTTTTCTTCTCATCTGTTCTGCGTAGCTTATAATTGCGAAATCATGATGAGTTCACTGGAATTCAGCACAACTAGAATGATGAGCATGATACACACATTTTTTGCATAGCCACCATGTTCGACGTAACATTCATTCTATGGCTAGAAGACCGCTATGCCATTGTCTAAACAAGCCTAATCGTGTACTTAGCAGGTTTACACTTGTTATTTTTCTCGTGCAGGTTTGTTCACTCTTTGAAAACAGGAAAGAACAATCTCAAACTTGTTAAGACAATGTCCGCAATGCGGATAGATGATAGTCCATTTTGGAGCGGAAGTGCTAGAGTGAAAGCAAAGATCTGCGCATTCGCAAATCATTTTCAAATCTTCAATCTAACTAAATTCTTAATTACTCTGGTAAAATAGTGCAACGTTATAGCGTACTCGAAACTTTCTCAGGTCATCAGCTCCTTTATTAACCAAATTAATTGCTGTAAGCATGCTATTTTTCGTGCTTTCGCACAGCGAAATTTTATTATTCCCGTGTATGCTCTATAAGACAGTGAGTGTTGACCTTTATTCAACTGGCTCGGCGGCTGGGATGAGGGGCTTTGTGACCCACTCAAGGCCGCCTGCGCCCACGGCGCAGTCTGCGTTTCTTCCCCGCGCGTGCTCTCCAATCATCCTAGCCTCAATTAGGTCACGAAGCCCCGCCTACCAGCCGTCAGGCCAGTTGAATCAAATGGTAAAAAAATGGTCCTATCTTGATCTGCGATGATCTTGCTCTTATCCATCCTAAAAGTTTCCCTTTTCGCGATAATCGTATCTGTTGCTCTGATAGTGTTATAGAAATTACTGTTGAAAATGAGCTCAAATTCTTTAGACATATGGGTTCTGTAGCTAGAAGTGCTTATTTGTCTCTCTTGTTTTTCTCTTCGAACTCAAAATTAATCCGGTTTGTTCGCTCGCATACAAAATCGCATACTTGAATACATTTTTGAACTAACACTACTTGAATACACGCTCACATACTTGAATACATGTTCAGAATGTGATCAAAAAGTGGAAGAACAGTGCCCAAACAATTGCTAGAAGGCCTTGAATCATTTTTATGTGAGCAATTCTCCTGGCAGCAGATCAGCGAGTCATGAGAAAACTTAATTTATGATCATTTTTGTTGTCGAAATTTTGCTGGTCCAACAATTTGCTTTTGAATGCTTAGTTTAAAAAAAAATTGATTTATGATAAGCAAGTAATAAATATTACGGTAATCTGGAATAGTAGTCGGGTAATCCAGATTACGATCCAGAAATATCGAGAGTACCTTTAATTCGAAATGATGTATTATATTATAGCTGCTCATAGTTGCTGCTCAAAAAGTCTGACCGGTCGAAGTAGCCTTTCCACATGGAAACTCACACGATATTAAAGTGCATTAAATGTTGATTCTTAGATTGTCTTTGAAATTGAACGCGCAACTGGAACAAATTCGTCGGAGATTGCACAAATGGCCCATATGTTGTCTCGGAACAATGTTTCTGTTTTGAAAACATTATTTGACATCAATTAACAATGTAGTATCGCATTTCGTAATTGACTTTCATGTTCAGAGCATGGCTGGAGTAGGGGTGTAGGGCTTTTCGCACGATCATAATTCTTTCCGCGCAGGACCGCCGTCGCGCGCGACACACCCTGCGGCGGCTTTTGCCTAAGCGAAGCTAGGGGAGGAAAGAGTTGCGGCGTGTGTGACGTGTTGAGACAAGTCAAAATCAGGGTAGCGCTGGGTACCGTCCGTGCGAAAAGACCGTCTCCCCTGGAGTAGTAGTGCAGTGATACATTGGCAGAATAGGTCGCAGGATTCTGAATGAAGGGATGCATTATTGAAATCGCTTAGCGACACTTTGTAATATGTTTTCGAAAGCTTATTTGTTTTCAATAACGAGAAAAAACTCATTTTTCTCTCCATCTGCAATGACAGTCATGTTCAAGTACCTTTTGTTGGTTCTTGCTATGGAGGTTAGTTTCTTCTTCTGCAGTCTTTTAAGAGTCAAAAAATCGTATTGAAAAACTTATATTCTGTTTCTCTTCCGAACCTATTCTATATTCTGCATGACAAACAAATCATGGTAAAGCCTAGAGACAACCTTCCAAATAATTTGAGTAAAAGTTTGTTTCAAATCCTACGGATAATAGCCTCTTGTAAAAGAGGCTGTCGCTAGGACTTGAAAGAATATCTACCTGAAGTTGAAATCACTACGTAACATACAATAGAAACCTGCTTTTCGCTCCACTCTCCAGATTTAGCTTAGAGCAAATGAATAGAACAGCAGACGGAGAAATTCGCTGAAGATATCGCGTCGAAATGACTCATCTTTGTTCTTAGGTTTGATCTTGAGATCTTCGATCGTTGAATTTTTGGCATTGTGCCAGTTGTGTTTTCGATATGGACTTGTCATCACATGTTCGTAACTTATGCTATCATCAAAAACTAAGTTCACATACATAGGTGTCTACAACTTGAATGATAATTTCTCGATGATGATTGGGGGCTGCTCTTTCACATTTAGCTTGTGAGTTGTAACGTAGGGCACTTTTAGAAAACAATGTTTAATTTCGAAACACTCTTGAAGAAATCTTTCAAAAACTGGGGCGATGTTGGAAAATTGAAGCGAACTTCTCATAGGATCTTAGGACAACTCTTACTTACATATAAATAGCGGTGAATGCATTGAATATTAGAGCACTCTATGCATGAAAAACCTTCTGCCAAATATTCCGTACTCAACATATTCTTTATTCAGGCGCTTAACGACCATGGCTAATGTTTTTTCCTAGATTTTACTATCATTTTCCGCTCCAAAAAACACTTATATCGGCGATTAGAGCGCTTGGCAAAACAAAGACGGTTCTGGAATCAGAGTCGTTTGATGCTCTTTGGATTGATATATATATATATTTCATTTAGATAGCCGGTTTGGATTTCGGGTCCTCCCCTAGATAAAAGCTCGGCATCAAAGCACATTTTATTGTGCGAAAAATGCGGCAGACTGTACATCTCTTTTTGGGTGATCACGAAACACCAGGTTTTTTACCATAAAAGCCAGTAAAAAGTGTTAGCGCTTTTTTTCACTTCAATGGTACGCAAATTCTTATTGTTGCCGCAAACATCCGATTTTTCTGTGGTTCTTCAACAAAATGTATTTTAAGGTGGACCGGGGCCTCTATTTGCTATAATGCTGATCGTTATAAACAGGCAGAAAAGTTGCCAACTCAAAAAGAGGAGTACATCGGGACACATGCACTTCTATATTTTGGAGATAAGATATTTCGTGAAAATATTTGAACAGCGCGAAAATTTTTGAGCGAAGTTCAACTGGAGATTGCTGGGTAAAGTTTCTATCTCATTATAAAACAACGAAACAATATCCGAGGACAGCATGTAAATACTGCTCTTAAACAAGTGTTCCTATAAAAAGCACACATGATAATAAAATTCGACGACAGTTGAGAGAGCGAATAATACCGCTTGATACACAAGTTTTCATGTGTCCACGAAATGTAAGCAAACATGAAAAAGTGCATTGCAAGAGAATGAAATTTGTAAAACTATAGTCCAAAGATTAGTATTGCAACAAACAGTTTTCTGGAGAACTAGAACAATGCTTGTGCTTAATTGGAGTTTAGCTTTATATAACCCCCTCCTTCCAAAATCTGAAAGCTAAACATGTTCGGATATCTTCTTTTCGCTCTCGTAGTCGAGGTAAGTTATCTCATTGCATTTTCCTATACTGCATACCGCAAATTGAAGGACTCTTGAAATTAGCAATATATGGTTGTCCCGAAAGTTTTCTCCTTTTTTTCATCGCTCCTTGAAACTCACAGAACACCAATCCATGGATGATTTAGGTACCATTTGATTCAGAATTTTATCCTTTTTCTTACAGCTATATTTGATCTCTAATCTACCCTGTCTTTGCAATGTTATCGCCATGGATTTTGAGCAGCTCAGTAATAACGACAAACCTTTCTTGAATTTCAAAATCATTTACTCGATAAAAACGCGGCTTTTTGATAACGTTTACCACCTAAATTTACGAAAATTCCAAAAAGCTGCTTTTTCAAAGCAGATCAGACTTTGTTCTGTTGCATAAAAAATGTTTAATAAGAATCATGTTTCAATTCGCAAAAACTTCAAAAGCTTTCGTGTATTTGCTGCTTTGCATGTTTCATGATTTTGCCAAAAAACGAGACCTCCAATGAGATAATTTTTGAAGCTAAAAACAGTAGTTTTGGAGAGCCTAAAAATAATATGTACCTTGTAGCCCGAGAATTGCTCTATTTGATCCATACTTAGTCCTTTCTGAAACTTTGGAGTGAAATTTTTGAAAATTAGCCCAACTTTGAGAAGATAAAATTTACAGGTGGAGAATTTTGGCAAATATCAAAAAAGCATACGGGACTGTGGGTCGGAAATGTAAACTTACAGGATTGTGTGTCGGAAATTTGAATGTAAAATGTATGAAAGATAAGGAAAAGCTGCATCAAATGCATGTTGAAAATCATTCAGATCTTTATCGTCCGTGTTTGGTTTTATAGTGGTTCGAAAAAACAGACAAGACTTTCGGCACAACCTAATAAATCCCAGTTACATTATGAAATAAGATGACCTGAATCTCAATGTAGTGAGAATTCAATCTCTATTCTCAAATCAATCTTGTTTGATGTAGTTTGTGACTTCCATAACAGAAATGAATTTATTCAGAGATGTGAAAAACTAATATTCGTCAAAAACACATTAAAACATGAAATAAATTTTTCTATTGTAGTGCAGTCTAATGTTCCTGGGCACTTTTCTCTCATCCAGTTTCCAAAACCCTTGTGAATCTTATTGGCGTAAGGTTCGCAAGCTCCAGAAATGCAGATATAAGCCAAAAGAGAGTTTTCCTACATATGGAGGAGAAAAATTTTAGAAAAAAAATTTGCTCAACTTGATAGCCACATATACATTGTTCCTGCCGCTATAATCTGGCGTCTCTATTGAATATGCAGTGTTATAAAATTGAAAAAATTGGATCATTCTCTGGCAATTTTCATTTTATTGTTAGCATAGTCTTCGCAGTTGAAACTGAGTGGCTTCTACTACGCGGTCAGTTTTCTATAGAGAAGCTTTTAATACAAAAACCACTCAAGTCAGAGAATGATTCATTCCTTCTTTAGTAACACTGCAGTGATTAATGGATTTGGGCAACACATAGTAAGGACAGGTACAGTATATTTGTGATTTTTAATTTTCGAAAAATGAGTGCCAATTTTTAATATAGAAGAAACTGCATTAAGAAACAAATTGCGCAGTGTCATTCTGCACTAGAAAGATGAAAAGAAAAAACTGTACATGGAAATTGGAGTCCATTTTCATTCAATGTTATTAATTGTTCCCAGTGTTGGATAAGTAAGTCTCTTGCTCTTATACTTGAAAGCCATCTCACTTAGAAGACTTAGAAAACCTACTTCTAAAACTCAAAAGCCAACTAAAGCTTAGCTGATTGCACTTCTAATGCTGGATTATGAAGTGCAGTGTTGTATACAGTTTATAGAAAGGTTCTAGGTAATTGCAAACTACCTTCTCATCTATCTTTATTTTTCAGATATTGATTACAATAACAGAAGCAAGCCCCATTCCACCGCCCTGGAGGTTTTCAGATGTCCAGGATCGGAATGTGATCTACGACGATAACTTTGGAGACCCCATCGTGTATGAGCGTGGTGCAAATATTGAACTGGAATATTTCGATTCTCGACCACATGAGGACGACAGGTACAATGAGGTTGAAGACTCGGTAAGTTCAGTTAGAGTACGGTGGAATGCAAAATAGATGTTTTTTCTTATAATAAATTATACCGTGTTAAAAAAGCATTTGCTAATTCTTTACATTGATCACATATTGGGCTAGTGGCCCCCGAGAATGGGTCGCAAAATTTTTGAAAGTTACTGATTTTAGGGGTTGGGGACCGCAAAAATTTTGAGAAGCACTCCTAAAATTTTTTCGAGTGTGTGGCTAACGTCACGCACTTTTATTCAAAAAAATTATTGTCCCCCCCCCCCCAAATCCTGGGTACGCCACTGTGTTGGGCAGGACATGCTTCTGTTGAGATGGACTGGATTTTTGCACGAAATGTTGAAGATATCCAAATGTAAAATTGAAGCTAGCTATAGGGCCCAGAAATAAATTAGCATGAGAATCTAACTTTCAAGTATACATCATTCAATTGCCTGGTTGCGAATTTGTCATTCTCTAAATAGTGTGGTTGGTGTTGTATAAAGAAAAGCCATACGTAGCAACTTTTTTGTTCCAAACAATTTTACGATACGCCGGAAGTATTCTGCGCCCCGCCTCTCTCGTTTTGGACTCCGCCCACTTACACGTAGTTTCCACTAAATGTGGACCTGGAAAGCTTCGAGAGAAGCTCGTTTTCGCCACTTTCATGCGCTGAAAGGCCCAGATATAGGTTCCTCATGGCGAGAAGGATTCGAAGAACTTGAAAACGAAATTTGGCCGTGACGCTGCCTTCAAGGGGATCAGCAGAACACCAAGTCAGTTGGATTATTCATAGAGTGTCTGCTTGGCCCACGAGCGGGAGCGAAAAATCTTGATCTTATGCGTTCTAGCGATGTCTTCCACTCGCACTAGCCTCACCTTTAAGCACTAATTTTAGAGTTTCTATGGCAAATTGATCATACAATTTTGAAGCGCTTCTCTTCTTTGTGCTTTAAAATGCAGAGACAAAATTTTCAGGGCACAACAACTCACTATGGCAATACAGAGATAGTACTAGCGTCTTCTTACAAATATAAAATTCACTAGGTGCAATTACTGAAAGATATGCCTGTTTTGTAGAATTTATTTTTGACAAGTGTTAAGCCAACACGGAATCTGTATTTCCCTTTTTTCAGATGGAGATCATTTACAAAGGCCACATAAAAAGCTGTTTTTTTCTAATACTCTAGACACTCGAAAAAGCATATTTCGAGTTGTAATTTAAGCTAAAAAAGAATATATGTCCTTGTTATTGTGGCAAATAGGCAGAAGAGGTCTTGATTGCTAAAATCTGTACAGTTGGAACAACACACACCATACAACCTTTCTAACAATGTGATGAAACAATTGGAGAGGAGACTCAATGGAATCTGCTCACAAATATCCATCAATAGATGCAGGTCTTTGATGTTGATTCACTCTTGAAACACTAAATTAGTAACGAAGAGCACTTTGTGAATGATGTTTCTATATCACTTTTTAGTAGTGCGCAAACAATTCCCTGACATTTGGCAGTAAATGGCGGATCAAAATTGCCACTCTAAAGTACAAGTTTTTGTGTGAAAGACGTAACTAGGAGTAAATAGGCTTGAAAAGTACATTTTTAGGAAAGTTTGCAAGAGTCTGAAACAATTTGCAGAATACTTGTACTTTCGAAATAGCAGAATGGTTTTGCAAATGAGAGATTCTCTATTTAATGCGGTGCAATCTAAACTTTTAGAAATGCTCGTGTACATCGCTTTCGCTTTTGCAGTCAAGGCAAGTTTATGATTCTTTTGCTACTTAGTTTGTATAATTAGCCAAAGTCAAGATAGCAAGCTTATTATCAAACACACCACGATTTACATGAAAACCAAAACTTCTTCACGGGTTGCGCTTTCCGTAGCCTTAAGAGCCGGGCATATTTCCGCGATTTCAGCCGCGATTTGGCAGTCCAACTGTCCATAACTCACTGTAAAGAGTTTCTGAATGTACGAAAGGTAGGGCATTTTATCAAACCACTTAAGTTATACACACTATACATGTGCAGTTTGCTAATGTTGGATCTGAAGACTTCGGGCAAGCTGCCAAATTGCGTCGCGACTAAAATCGCGTAAAGTATGCCCGGCCCTTCAGGCTATGAAGGTATCGTAATTCCAAAATTCTCTGTTCTAAGCTCTTCTTGTCTGAAAGATGCAAAATTATATACCGTTTCGCACGAGAATTTGCAATTCTCAGACATTGTAGCATAATAAAAACATTTGAGTTTGAACTTTATTAAAATGTAATATAAATTAGAAGAAATTTCAGGGAACTTATCGAAAAATTTCACAATCGAAATTTTGTCAACCCGTGCTTTCTGACTGTTATCTTTGGATTGGATTATAAAAGAAAAACATGCATTTTGAAAAGAAACGTATTGATTAACAACTATAACTTGCAGGTGCTGATAACGAACACAAAAGCAAGTCCCATACCGCCTTTAAGGAATTTAAAAGATCATTTACCTCTCGAAGAGTATTCTGAAGAAGATTTCAAGAACTCGGTCTACTATGGAAGTCAATATGAGTATGAATACTGGAACCCAAAAACTATCGATGAAAATGATCCACAGTACAATAGTCTTGATAGATGGATTGATGAATAAAGCTGCTGCAAGAGTAGAAGTTGTTTTCGGTAGGAAAGTTTTATTTTGAATAAAGATGTGCTTATCCTTGTAACATTTAGATATATTGTGCAAAGATCCCAATATTGCTTGGTTGAACTTAGAATTATTTGCATACTGTACACGGTATCCACAAGTATACAAGCGCTGCTTAGCGAAGCCAACATTCCAGAATAAAATATGCTAAACTTTTCAAATTCAAAGCTCATTTCTATCAAAACATCGCCTGAATGTCTGCTAACGCAATCAGGAAAAGTTTGGGCATAAAAAATTCAGTACATTAAGACCTATAGTCTCTTTTGTATGCATTCATTGCCTAAAAACTAAAAAGGGTTATCATATAGAATTATTGCGAATAAAGAGCAGCTAAAATTTTTTCAATAGCAAGCTTATTTTCATGTTTGTGTTTATGTGTTTGTTATTCCCATATTGCTTCGTGCTTTCCAAGAATCAAAGATTTTCTATTTTATCCACAACTCTTTTCATTGGAAAACTCTAGAGCATTTGATGAGCAAAAACTTGGGACAAATTTTTCGTTAAAAAAGATATGGAATTACTGTTTCCAACAAAGGTATGTCGATAAAAGCAGTTGCGATTTTGTTTGCTGGCAAACCCTGTCATTCTTAAGGCCCCTACTTCACAGTTCACTTTCCTCTCTATAAATAATCTTCTTTTTTCCTGTGTTTGAATTTTAGAAAACTCTCGCTTATTACATAAATCAAGTTTTGGTGCAGATTTCTTTCGCAGCGCTAAAAATTTTTTATTGACCTACGCTAGGTGCAAATGCTGATGCAAGTAGCTTTGCTTGACTGAGCAAAAATTGCAAGAAAAAGTAGAGAAATTGAGAAAAATTGATTTGTTGAGGGCGACCTTACGTATGCCTTACGTACTTGTCGTGACTCTGAGTAAAACGGTTCTTCAACATAATTTCTCGGCTCTCCTTTATTTTCACGCTCAATGTACGTTATCTGGAAACTAAGATTGAGAGGAGGATACGGTTGTCCAGTAGCATTCTAATCTACTCTAAATCACGAAATGTTTGGATAATGTTTGTGAGTACTTTTGTGAATGGTCCGCAAAACAATAGTTTTTATTTTAGAAACATTATTCGAGAACAAATATCGATGTAATGTTGCAGCTCGTAATTGACTTTCATAGTGAGAGCATGGCTGGAGCAAGTGCGGTTAATACAGTGGCAAAGTACATTGCATGAACTGAATGTGGAGATGCAATATAGAGCTCGCTTAGCCAATTTTCGCGAGATACTTTCAAAAGGGTTTTTGTTTTCAGTAATAAAGAAAAATTAAATTTTAGTTTAATCTAAGATGACAGTCATGTTCTGGCACCTTCTGTCGGTTCTTGCAATGCAGGTGAGTTTATTTTATTCTGCAGCTTTCCAAGTTTTAAACAGCTTCGACTTTACACTAATGTTTTTCAAATCAGCTTCGTATTCTGCATGACAAGATTATCAATCCATTTCTGTGAAAATTTTTAAAATCAAATTCTATGCATACATCTCTTGCGGAAGAAATACATCACGTTTGCAAAAGTATAAAATTAAATTGATTTCAACCTACCTATATTTAGAATCAAAAGTAAGTTTCTCTTAATGCCACAATGTTGTACTTTTTTGAGACCACTTTTAAATAGATTTGCCTGCGGGGACATTGACATAGAAATTCGTAAGGGTTTATGATGCCAACCCACATTTTGAGTAGCATTCAACCTGTATATAGGGCCCAGCACGAGGGTGGCAAATGGAAGTCGGTGAAACAACTTCGCCTTTAACACTAGCGAATTTTATGATTTCTCACTTGACACCAGCTGCTTAGGCTGTTTGATTGCAGCGCGCTATTTTCTAACAATTTGGTTCCAAACCTCCTATCCTCCTTGTTAGGACCCGGAATAGCAACGACGGCGGTGAAACTTCAAATGTAGAGCAGATTTATGCAGGAGTTTTGAAAAACTAATGTGAATGAGTGGGAAGTTTTGCCTAGGCTAGGTGGGCATTAGGTGGGCAATTACTTATCTATTAGGTTGTCAAGAGAATAATGTCGTTTTTCATGCAAAGCCATAAGACAAATTCAAAAAACTATGTGAGTGGTACCATTCAATAGAACAAAGGAAGCTCTACAAGATGACATCCGAACATTGGCAGAACTTGTAGTTTACGCAAAGTTCAGAGCCAAAAAATACGAGCAATTCGTGGTACCAAAAGTTGGATTTTTACCCTAGAAAATCCTGCGAACCTCTCACTTGCTCCTGCTTATAAAGGACACATGCGCTTATCCATAGGTACTCTTGCTATATTTTTTCCATGCTTAGAAACCAAGAAAAAATTGAAAAATGGAAAATGAACTCCGGCCCCAGTGGTATTGGGCCCCTCCCACATATGCTTTTGTATACTACAAACCTTCGTAACTTTAACCAAAGAATTTCGGCCTTGTATATGCTCTAGTTCTCGAGTAATATCAATTTTACACGAAAAAACCCGAAAAAACGACATTATTTTCTTGACAACCTAATAATTTGGAAGAAAAAGTAAAGCACACTCTTTATTCGCATAAGTCTTTCGTAAACCTTCATACTTTGTTCCTTAGTCCCATTGCGCGTACGCATCAATTCATGCCATATTGTCATCTGTGCATTGCAGACGATTTAATCATCCCTTTTGTTGGTAGCAGGAAATTTTCAAAAAAGTTCATCGCGCCTTTCAATCACATAATTTTTCACAAGTTTTCTCAGGTTATTCCCCTTAACGTTTACCTCTCCTTACCAAATTTGGTAGGTAACATAATCGTATGGTGTGCCGCAATCGAATCACTTGTTTACAACCTTGTACAAAGAAACTTTGTTTTCAAAATGGTATCATGAGCGCATGATGTTTCAATGAGTCACCTGTGTAAAAATCTGGCCTTTACGGGGCTGAACATGTCTGTGGGGTAAGTAATGCATACAAATGTGTGAATACGATTATCCCTTTGTTTTTTCACGTAAAACAATTTCCAGTATGACATTTGCCATTCTCGTGTCGGGCTCTGATCTATATCAGATAAAGATAGATCAGATCAAATAAAGCTGCTCAATTTTCTTTAGCTCGAAGTTTGCAGATTATTAGCTTCCCGATTCAGAACTCTCCGTTCCCAGCATAACTTAAGTTGCAGATGCTGATTACGAAAACAGGAGCATATCCTATTCCTGATTTCACTCAAGAGCGTTATGACTCTTACGAGTATGGTGATGGTAACGAAATTTTTGACCCAAGAGATGTCTTCGATGAATACCATTCCGTATACGAGTATCTCAGCGAGAATGATCTTGGCTGGTGGCTAAATCAGTGGTGAAATAGCAGTGCAATATATGGATTGCTTTGTGATAAAGTGTTTGTTACGATTTTTACAATAACATTCGTAATTCGAACACATTTATACACATCTATTAGGGTGAACGGTAAAAAATGGGGCAGCTTGATTTTTATTACATTTTGAGGTTTTTTGTTCTCACCAACAGCAAGCAGGCAACTCGAACGTCACTTACATGACCGACCGCCTACAACGCGTTACCGCTCCTCTCCCATAATCGTGCGCGTGGCGCCGTGAAGAACTCAGACAGGTTTGGAACAATTCTCAATCTTGCGCTGCTATACCGTAAAGTCGTGAAGCAAGTGACATACCATTCGAAAGAGCTCTTTATGCTCTTACAAACGATATGTTAAATGCGTGAGATTCTTTCCAATAGCAAGAAAACCTGAAATAGCTATTTTTGGCGCATCAAAAAACCAAAAAATCATGTTTTGCCTCATATTTTGCCATGATAGATAAAATCTGAGGTAGGCTGCATATGGATGGATAGAGCTAATAAGCTCTATCAGATGGCACCTAGAATGCTTTCACCTGCAAAGAATTGAATAACGCGTATCTTTGCTCTCGAAGTACTAATGGCCATAGCTCCTGACTTTGAGAGTTGAAGCCACCAAGCCGTCGTGGGTTCAGTGGCTGTCCCATCACTCATCCAGCAGTGGTACTTTGGGTGGTCTCAAATGCTTCACTGCGCAGATGCTGCTCAAACGTCATTATTTATTGAAGTGACTAACTTTGCATTTCAGCAAGTTTAAAAAATATTAATTATGTAGATAACCTTAAATAGGTATTATTTGAAAGAGAATACATATTCAAACATCTACCAAAATTGTAATCACTTATCTTTCTTGAGAAGCCTCCAGTTATTTCGTAAGTGCCCCATTTTTTACCGTTCACCCTAATTTATACGGAAGTTTGGTCAAACTGCTGTTGCCAATAGGTCGTTTTTGATTCTATTCTACAAATTGCTTCCTGTATACGAAACGAATGCTGTTCTGTCCTCGAATATATTTCATATATTTCACATACAAACTAGATCCTGCATGTGAGCGTCAGTAGCGGCAAAGCGCTCTTTCTGTTTATGGCCATTAAATTCATCAAGCTCGAAGAGTCCGCAATAGAAAGAAAAGATTTTATTATGCAAAATGATACAGTTGAATTTGTTGGTTGAGTAAACCTAAATATGATAAGATTGCACTTACTAAAAACTGATTATTTACGAAAACTACAAGAAAGTTAACACTTTCTGCTAATGTAGAAGCATTTTGACTGCGTCTTTTCCTGTAAGCGAAGCCCTCAGCCTAAAGGGCCGGGCATGCTTCACGCGATTTCAGTAGCGACGCGATTTGACAATTCGCCAGACTTCAGATCCAACACTAGACTGCACATGCATAAAATATATAACTTACGTGGATTGATAAAATGTGCTATCTTTTGTGCATTCAAAATGTGCTTACAGTGAGTTATGGACAGTTGGAATACTGCCAAATTGCGTGAAGTATGCCCGGTTCATAAGGCCTCGAGCAGAGTTCACGCGATTTGATCGTCGAGATTGATCGCAACAAAACAATTGTAACAATTTCATTGCATGCCGATCTTCTTGCATTTCGGTTGTGATAATTT